TACATAAATCTAAAACATTTCAAGAAACATTACATTTTAGATCAAATTAGCATTGAATCAACTTTGTGTTGCTGCCCGTGATCACATCAAGGATCAGCCAAATTTCCATGTGCGTTGTGAAACTCGAATGTTTAGGAAAGTGCTGCGGTTTAAATTTCGCATTATCTAGAAAATAAAATGTGCCTTTTACCCTAGTGCACTTTTAGTCCTATTTTACATTATAATTGTGCACAATATTGTATGTAGTAAACTGTCTGATCAAAGTACTCAGTGAATGGGTTAATCTTCCAGTATATTCCATCATTGATCCTTCTGGTCCTTAAGTGTGTTTGTGTTTAGCTTGAAGTGATGTGTACGTTTTTGTTCATGGGGACCCAAATGGTTAATCCATGTTTTTAAATGTTAATACACATAATTACTATAGTCTGGAATGATTCCAGGTGTCTATATAGGCAGAAAACTTTGAGTGCATGGTATGTATATGTATCCTGAAATTGTTTGTCTATTGCAGTGGTGATCATATGAACACAAACATGCTCACTGAGTTAAAAAGCATGCTTACTCCAAAGTAGTCAAAGCCTAGTGAACGTTTGTGTGTTTGGTTACAGGCAAATGGGTTTGTGCACACATTTGCATGCGTTTGCTTTTTTTGCCTGTTTGAGCACTGCTTTGTCTAAGTGAGCACACTGTGTATGTGCGTGTGCGCTTGACATTCTCTCTCGGCTGCCGTGACAAGGCCGGTGTCTGCTCTGTTTCACAGTGACAGTGGCGGGTGGCCGAGACACTGCCTGTTAGTTCTTAAGCTCACTGGATAGTTATTGCATTACTGTCTCTATCAGTCTGACTGGTCATCCACATCTCATTTGACCCTCTTCCTTGGCCAAATCTGCCTTTCTGCATGGTCACTCTCAAAACTCCCTATCCCATCAGATGCAGAAACCCTGTCAGGCTGGATTTGAGGATTATAGCAACTGAGGGACTGAACAGGATCAGCTAGCAAATTATATTTAAACTTTATTAAAAGAGCAGAACAAAATGACTGATTTGAGAGGTGACTGTCGTTCAGTGCCAAACCAACTTAAAATCTCTTCTCACTTCAACCCCCCCTCCTTTCTTCCCAGCTGCAGTCTCATGGTACTGCAATTAAGATAAGGAAGTGAGAAATAAACATCAGCCTCTATAAGAGGAGCCACATTTGCCAGTAACACACAAACACTGTATAAAGTTGTTGGAAATATAAACAGATGATAAGGGCATGTCAGTCCTATCAGTGCAGGGCCAGAAACCTTGGGAAAGATCTTTGTAATCTTTTGGACCAGCTCTCCGTTACGGGCTGTCTCCAGTGAAATTGCACACTTGCAGTGGAGGCTGATTCAGAGGGTAAAGTTAGAAGATTTTGCAACAGCCTGATCATGAATGAACAGAGTCTCTATGGCAGAACACCTGGTAGTACTCAAAATAAGAGCTGCATGAGCAATAAGAGGAGTCAGAAGAAACGTCTGACGTAACATCTGAAACCCACACTCAATTTTGAGTCTGTCCAGGGTAGAGTTTTAGAGATGGTCAGGTAAACAGACGCACCAACTGATACGCACAGTGGAAAGGGAAGAGCAATCAGAGAGGGAGTGAGCACTGATGTTATGGCATATGGTAACAGTGGGTATATTTGATTGTTTGGATAATGATAGCAGTGAAAGACAGTGTGCGGGAAACACCTGTGATAAAAGACTGTTGCAAACAAAAGAGCTTAAACCCTGCAGCCCCGTCGGCGCAACGACAGCCATAACAAAGCAGTCACATATGCTGTGAACTCATTGACTATGTTTTTAACCTCATTTGCGCCGTATTTATTAATGGAACCATGTGAATTATATCCTTGTTAGGACATTTGGGTCAGATAAAATGAAGTCATCTGAAGTCCTTTGAAAAGGAAGCAGAGGTAAAGACAAGGAACTGAGAGGCCGGAAAAACACAGGAGGTGAAAGCAAAGACAGGAAGAGTAGGACTGGAGAGAGAGTTTTGGAAAGTCTTTATAGAACAAGAAATTTGCTAACGGCCATGTTTTCATTGATTTGAAAGAAATCATATTCCTGGGATTTCCTGGGATGTCCAGAAATTTTACATCCAAGATGTTCTCTACTTGTCCCTCAGGACAAGATAGACTTTTATTAGTTTTTTGCTGATTTTAGACATTTATAGCCTTGAATTTCTTATTGTATGCTTTGAGTATTATGGTTTGAAGAGGAAATTCCATGCCTATGCTATAGTTGTTGAACATTTAAAAAATATATCTTGAAGTTTCCATTAAATCATTCAAGACATGTCTAGCCTACATTATGTGTGGCATTGTTGCATGCATGCCTTTTTTTCCCCACTCAGCACTATAGAAATTTCAAATACAGTACCAGGCAAAAGACACTCTTCAAAATAGTAATAATAAAGCCATCCAACTTATGAAATAACGCAAATGGAATTATGGGAAATATGCAGTAACCAAAAGGTGTTTATCAAAAATGTTGTATTCTGAGTCATTCATTAAAAAAGCTTAACTGTTTTGTATGAAATCCATACATAAGCACAACTTAAGATGTCTCAAAAGGCCTTTGAGATAATGAGAACCATAAATTTATTTGGGTTTGTCCAAACTTTTGACTGGTACAGTAATTTAGTCTGATTGATTTTATCTTGCCTTTAGCAAAAATTGCATGAGAATCATTTCTCTTGATGCTTTCAGATGCAGAACAAGGTTTAGAAAGCTCAGCAAAAATCAGCACATAGTGTGGGGGATATAGCGCTTAACTCCTAGCCAGCTATTATAATATTTTCTTTAATGAAATGTGGGCATACTTGCTTAGGCAGTATGGAGTTGTGGTTTGAAGTGAAGAGAGAGAAACAAAAGACTCCACTGGCGGTGATGTTGTGGGTTGGCGGTAGGATGGAGTACTGCCAGTAGCTAAAAATGATCTGTGGGGGTTCGAGTGAGAAACAAAAGAGTTTAAAGTTTGGTGATAAAAGAAACCGAGTGTGCTGGAGAGATACGTGTCAAGCGGTCGGTCGTGTGTGTGTGTGTGTGTGTGTGTGTGTGTGTGAGTGACCAGCCTGCTGGCCAGATTGGCCGAGAGCGTTTGAGTGGAATGACAGGCATGCTAGATATTTTCCAGAGGCCTGCATTACAAGAGTCAAATGCTCTCTGAGAGAAAGTAAAGAGGAGAGACTGTTTTTTGCACTGACCTCTTTCTGTTGTTGTATGGATGGATATGTATAGCTATGTTCTACTTGTGGACATCACCTTTGTTTAGATTTCAGAGGTCTGACAAACTAAATTTCCTCTCTTCCTGTTGTGAATTATTGGCTGTAGCACAAATATGTAGATATATAATTGTCTATAAAATATAACTGTCCCTTTGATTTGCCCACACGAGTTGTGAAAGAACTGCCACAGATGCAGATGAATGGTGTTATTTCTGGTGGGTGAAAAGTACCACATGTGATGAATGATCAGGATTAAAATGGGAAATGGCTCCAAGTATACACACCGAGGATAAGGAGGAGGAGGGGGCCTAGATGATGGATTTAGGATAATGTTAGACAGGATATAGAGAGACAAAAGGGGACCAAACACTCTCTTCGTTTCATAGACACGTACACTGTCGACAAGAGGGTGGAGCAGGTTGAAGCTGTGGTTCATTGTTTTGAGGCTGACAGACATCCTGTTTGAAGCAGGAATGAAGCCCCACGCCACAAGACAGCAGCAAACAAACGAACACACACTCACACGCAAAGGATTCTGGATTTTATTTAATTGTACATGCTTGTTTCCCTTAGCTTTACAGTTGGATTACCTTTGCCATCATCTAACAAAAAAAATTAAACTAAAAATGTAAGAACACTGTTAAATTTTATTCTTTATCTTATATCATACTGTACATTATATATTGGGGTGCCTAAATTTACTTTAAAGCATTTAAAATGATTGGTTTTAGTTTTTAGTGTTTTATTTTTATTATATTTAGATAAAATATGCTGCACCCGAAGAAAACCATACATAAAAGAATAAGGTGTTCGAGTATTCTTAGTATTATTAAATGAGTAGGGGAAAACTACCCAAGTGACTTACTATTTCCAGCGGGTTTTTGGAATGCACATCCAGTCGACACTTCAGTATCCCATGAGGCCACAGGAGAGAAGTTGTAGATGGCAGTGAAGTGATGCTGATGCCAAAGGTCACATAACAAAGCCAACATAGCGGATTTAGTACATCCAAATATCATTCATGCTATATACTTTTTATTGGTTGTGAACTTCATTCTTCATTTATTGTAGGACCTACTCAGACGGAATGTGATTTCAGATGCACCTATAATATAAAATTTTTATATTGGCCATGAAAATGAAAATAATGATGGACTTATTGGTATAGAGTAGAATTTGAATTTTGGTGCATCCCTAGTGCTGACTGTGGGTCAGTTGTGAAATTGAACAATCCCCCATGAAGTTGCATTGAGGTCCAAATCCATTCTGGTATATAATGCCCGCTTTTTGTGATCCATCCAATTCCAAATGATTGCAAGAAAGTACTTTTCCTGCTGAATATTCTGTTTCTTTGTGATAAGTCACATTACGAAATTAAAATGGATTGACTTCAAACTACTCTTTGGTAACTGCTGGTCATGGTGTTGGTTAGGGGTATTTGGCAAACTGTATGTGGTGAACCACTGTGTTGGATATTCTGTCACAGCTGTAGAGTTGGGCTGTTGGGGAAATAGAGCTGTACAGTGTTGCTGCCAAGGTCCTGTATTTAATTTCAGTCAAAGTGTGATGCTTCTCCATTTATAAATGCTCATGCCACCATTATCATGTTGTTGTGTTTGAACAGCCTTGACCCGTTTAGACACATTCTATCATATCACATGTCCAGTACTGTAACAAGTGTCCAGTAACATACTCAAGTCATTTGTTCTCATGTGTTCAAGTCGTTTGTTCGTTCACTCACTCTTTAGGCCGTAGAAAGGGAGCAGATAGACAGCATTCAGCCTAAACTGCAACATGTCAACGCTGTGGGTCAAGGTCTTATCCAGAGTGCAGCCAAACACACTGACACTCAGAGCCTGGAACATGACTTGGAGACCACCAACCTGCGCTGGAACTCCCTTAACAAGAGGGTAAGCTTGCATCTATTTTTAGCCTTTTTTTTCTTTGTGGACTGATAGAAATGGATTAATTATATATTAAAGATTTCTTTTTTTTTTTTATTCACAGGTTGCTGAAAGAATCGCACAGCTGCAGGAGGCCCTGTTGCATTGTGGGAAGTTCCAAGATGCTCTGGAGCCACTCTTGAGCTGGCTTAGTGACACAGAGGAGCTCATAGCCAATCAGAAACCTCCGTCTGCTGAGTACCGTGTGGTCAAAGCACAAATTCAGGAGCAAAAGGTTAGATTTTAATCAAATTTGAATTTAATTAGTTTTTATAATGGCTTGCAATATTTTATTAAAACCTAAAATTATATTTATTATTATATTATATTATATTTATTTATATTATATCCAATTTGTGACAAAAGGCAAGTTGATGTTTTTTATCAAACTAATTAGACTTTGCTACTTTTAATTATTAATTTGCTTACTGAGATTCCATATTATTCCTAGCTGCTGCAACGGTTACTGGATGACCGCCTTGGGACAGTAGAAATGATCAGGGCAGAAGGAGAGCGAATCGCTGCTACGGCCGAGACACAAGACAGAGACAAAATCCAGAAACAACTTAAGAGCCTAGGAGAGAGATGGACAAATCTGCTGGAAAAGGCCAGTGCCAGGTAAACTCCAGTAGAGCAATATGGACACCCAGACACAACCATAAAATTTCTTAATTGAATCTCTTACTCAGAACTCAATCACTTGGTTGCTTTACAAGGCCATAAAAACAGAGTAGACATAAGAATATAACACAGATTTCCTCCTCACCTCATGTCCTCAGGCAGCGGCAGCTAGAGGAGCTGCAGGTGTTAGCGCTGCAGTTCCACGAGGCAGTGGAGCCACTTGGTGAGTGGTTGAGCACATCAGAGAGACGTCTGAGCTCCGCTGAGCCAATGGGAACCCAGACCTCCAAAATCACACAGCAGATTGTAAGGCACAAGGTAGAGTATACACAGCAGCTGGGAGAGTTGTATCCTGGCAGTTTGCTGAGGATAAGACTACCAGAATTGTTGCTGCCAAACCAAGATCTGTCATTTTAGCAAGTGATTTTCAAAGTGTCAAGCATCATTAGACTGATTGGAGATGCAGAGGAGAGAACAGATTGTCAGTCTCCTGTGGTTTTAAATGGACTAGTAGGAGTGCAGTTATCGAAGAAGGCACAAAATTCAGGTCGTGATCCTGCCCACATCCTTTCCATTTTGCAGTTTCATTTTATCATGGTTTCTTTTTTTATCCTTTTTTTCCCCCCATCTCATCTTGTGTTGATCCACATATTATTTTTTTGCTCACATCATTTAATTATAATTTGTCATTATTCTGCATTGTCATGTTTGTTTATGTTTGCCTTGTCTTTTTTTTCTCCTACTCATTCAATCATATCTCCTCTTCACTCTGGGCTATAATCCCAGGCTCTCCAAGAGGAGGTATCCTCTCGGGAGAATGATGTAGACCATCTTGAGACTCTCAGTCAATCACTGCACCCACTCAGCTGTGCGGCTGACCGTGATTGGCTGGGTGAACGTGTGGCGGCAGTGCGCAACGGGCACACGGAGCTGCATGATTGGTGCAATCGGAGAGAGGCCATGCTGGAGCAGGCCCTGGCCAATGCACAGCTATTTGGAGAAGAAGAGGTGGAAGTCCTTAACTGGCTAGCTGAGGTGGCGCAGAGACTGGCTGAGGTCTCAGTGCAGAGTTATCAGCCGGAGCTACTAGAGCAGCAACACAAACACACACTGGTACGATTCTGCAGGGCATAGCTGCCCAGGATCAACAATACCGTATAAGTCAGTATACCGGATAAATCAGAGAATATGAATATTGCTAAACAGTCCTCATCTCAAAAACAAACAGTCACTAAGTGTGGTCAGAGCCACACTAGGTCTGTCGGTCAATTAAAATTTTTAATCAAATCAATCGCATGATATTCTGATTCAATAATGTAAAGAAGTGCATATACTAATGTTATTTATTTTTTATTTTAGATTACATAGCATCCCCTTGAATTCTTTTCAGAGTTAATGTTTCTATTGCTGGTGCCCTACAGGCTCTTAATGAAGAGATTATCAGCAGGAAGAAGACAGTGGACCAAGCCATTAAGAATGGACAGGCTCTGCTTAAACAAACTACTGGTACTTTTCCCATCCAGTCTCTATGTTCAGTGGTGTATCACCAAATTCCTCTTATGATTATGATCCTATTTGATCTCTGTGACAGGTGAGGAGGTCCTGTTGATTCAAGAGAAGCTAGATGACATCAAAAGCCGGTACGCAGAGATGACAGCAGGCAGCAGCAAGGCCCTCCGTACTCTCGAACAGGCCCTTCAGTTGGCCACGCGATTTGCTAGCTCGCATGATGACATCAGCCAATGGTTGGATAGCGTGGAGGCGGAGCTTAACAACATTGAGCCAGACACAGCACCAGCCTATCAGGACAGACAGAGGGTGAGGATGTCTATTGTTTTATTTTTTTAAGTACTTGTGAATTACTTTTTACTTCATTCTTTTCTTTTAGACCATACACACCTATTTCTGTTTTTGCTAAACCAAATGAATTTCTTTTATGTCTTCAGTGCATTTTATATTGTGTGTATGTTTGGCTCAGGAGCTGAAGTGCGTGTCTGCTGAGAAGAGGTTAGTTCTGGACACAGTGAATGAGGTGGGCAGTGCTTTACTGGATCTGGTGCCCTGGCGTGCACGGGAAGGCCTGGACCGCCTGGTCGCCGATGCCAATCAGCGCTACCGCCAAGCGGATGAGACCATCACACAGAGAGTGCAGTTAGTGCAGGCTGCCATCCAAAGGTCACAGCAGGTACTGCAACAAATACTGTGTATGTGTGTGTATATATATATATATATATATATATGTGTGTATGATTAACACAGAAGCAAATCCTAAACTTACTTAGAACTTAACATTATTCTTTCCCTGCCTTTCATTAGCATTGGCATTGGTATTTTCTTTTAGGAAAATTCAAATGTAATTTCATTTTTTTTATTTTTTTATATATATAATATGTCTTTTTTCCTTTTTAAAATGATGTAATACTTCAAAGGAAATACAAATGGTTATAATAAATTTAAAAAGTACATTTGCAACTTTAACATACATTTTAAAATATTATTAATATAAAAAAAGAAGTTGTTGCTTAAGCAAAATTTGATTTAGGATCCTCTGTCCATGTTGCCTTCTTGAATGTGTAAATATTTTCGTCATACTTCTTTTTTTTTTGACAGTGTATTTGTGTGTGTTATTGTTTCAGTATGAGGAGGCAGTTGATGCAGAGCTGACCTGGGTCGGAGAGACCGAGAGGAAGTTGGCGTCTCTGGGGCCTCTGAGTCTGGAGCCTGATGTGACTGTGGCACAGCTCCAGGTGCAGAGAGCCTTTAACATCGACATCATCCGTCACAAAGATACTGTGGACCAACTCCTTAAGACACGAGAGGACATCCTGGAGAGCTGTAGTGAACCGCAGAGAGAGGCTCTGAAGGTTAGAGACAAAATAAAGAAGAGAGAGAGGGGAGGGGGCAGAACAAGCTATGTAATTATTCCTCTGTGAAAGGTTAGATCAGGAAAATCGAATTGATGTTATTCATGAATTTTCTGGCGGAGATTTGATTTGTTGAGTCATATTTGGGTCAAACAAAAGTGCAGGCTTGTTTTATCAGTCTTTTTCAGATTAATTTGGTTGACCTGATAAAACCTCTTTCTTCTTCTTCCTGTAGGTGAAGACAGACTCTTTAAGTGCTCGTTATGAAGCAGTAAATCAGAGTCATGCTGAGCGCTTCTCAGCTCTAGAGCAGGCTCAGGTCCTGGTAGCACGGTTCTGGGAGACGTGTGAGGAACTTGAACCCTGGCTGGGTGAGACCGAGACTCTGATTACCCAGCAAGCCCCTCCTGCCATTGACACAGAAGCGCTCAGACAACAGCAAGACCAGATGAGGGTGAGTGGGCAGTATGCAGACAAAGGGCTTCAGTCCCTTTTGCTCCTTCGTGGTTATATGATGCATTCAAGTCATGTCGGGAACATTGTATTTATGTGTTGAACGCATATGAACGTCACCACAAGTCTTAATTACAAGTGAGGATTTTCTCTGGATTTTCTTTAAAATCAGAGTTTCTGAGTTTAGGGTGTGTCAGTGCAGTTAAAGTGTCAGTTAAAGTATCTGACTTGCATGCACAAAAATACCATAGTATTGTACAATTATGATATGTAATGATTCAGCTTACAGCCTCTTAATGAATTGAATAAAAATATAAAAGAGCAAAAATGCATGGCATTGCCATCTTGCTCCTGACGTAATTCCGACTTCCCAACTCGTAAATATGCACTTCCCAGGAGGACTTGAATGCACCAATAGACATGGACTAAGACCCACAAAACTCAAAACCACAAAACTTATTTGATGTCATATGTATTAACATCACATGACATGTTTCATATGTTTTCCTGACTAGCTTTTGAGAGAGTCCATCGCTGAGCACAAGCCTCACATAGATAAACTGCTAAAGATCGGTCCACAGCTGGCAGAACTCAGTGCCCAGGAAGGGGCAACATTGAGACAACGTTATAATGAAGCAGAGAGACGTTACCTCAGCATCAAAGAGGAGGTCAAAGGTCGAGCCACAGCACTGGATGAAGCAGTGTCACAGTCTGTCCAGGTATTTGCTGCAAAATGTTAGCATGCTTATTTAGGACTGCTGCCCAGCTTGTTACAGCCCATCGTTCAGCATTACACAGCACAATATCAACTCATTTTGTGTCATCATCATGTTTTTTAGAACACACAGGTATATTTAAGCTGTTTAAAATGACACGCATCACCTTTAATTAATCATTGTTTCAGACTAAGGCATTTTTTTTAAAATAACATCACTGACATCTGACATCATCAGCTGCATTTTGGCTTAATGCTTGTGTTATTGATTCGTCCTGCTGGTCTGTTGCATGCTGTTGAATTAACACATTGTACTGTTTCTCCACTTCCATTCCTTCAAACTCTACTCTACTGTGATGCCACCTGTCCCACTCCTGTGCCCCATATCCTGTCACACTCTCCTTTCCATATCCTGTATCCCCTAAACTTCCCCCTTTCCTGCTTGTTGCAACTCTTCCCTTGAACATTCCCTGCACTTCTCCCTCCCATGTCCGTTTGGTTCATCCGTCCACCCATCACTCATGTTTGTGGATGTGCTGTGTGTGTCCATCCCTCCATCATCACTGCTCTCTGCAACACCCTCAGCTGGTAGAGGTAAGAGCATCATCACCCACTGATTTAACTGCTGTATAATGCCTGTATAGGATTGAGAATCAGGAATTCTTTAATCCAGAATATTTTATATCACTCTGTTGAAACTAGTTTTAGCTTACATCGGTTGGCCTATAGACAGTATCTTATTAGTAGCAGAAGATGGACAAAATATTAAATATACATTTCAATTAATTTCTTATGTTTAAAAGTATGTAAATCGTCCAAATTTCACATTTAACCTGCTCCCTTTACCATTTTGAACAGCTTCTTTCTTGAAAGTATTTCAAGAAGCTGTTATATTTTGAAATATATCTTCTTCATTTGCATTAAGGTATTTAGCAGAAGCTTTTATGCAGACCAACTAACAAAAAGTGATTTGCCTTCATGTATGAGACATAACTGAAAGTTAACTTTCTTGCACTACTATTCCAAAGTTTGGGGTCTGTAAGATTTTTAAATGTTTTTGAATAAAGTCTCTTATTATCAACAAGGCTGCATTTATTTGATCAAAAATACAGTAAACAAGTAATATTGTGAAATCAGTGTTTTCTATTTTCGTATATTTTAAAATTTAAAGCACCATTACTCCAGTCTTCAGTGTCACATGATCCTTCAGAAATCATTCTAATATGCTGATTTGGTGCTCTAGAAACATTTCTTGTTTTTATAAATGTTGAAAACAGTTCTGCTGCTTAATATTTATGTAGAAACCGTGAAACATTTCTACATAAATATTAAGATTGTTTGATGAATAGAAAGTTTAAGAAATCGTTTGTAGAATTATAAAGGTTTTTATTGTCACTGATCAATTTAATGCATCCTAGATGAATAAAAGTACTTAAATAAAAAAAACAATCTTGCTGACCCCAAACTTCCAAATAATAGTGCTAATAAAAGTACTGTGTAATACCAATAAACCTAATACAAGACATTTAAATAAAAGATGTTAATACAAAATTGTAAAACAATTAGTTCATTTCTTTCCACTTTAAAAAGTAGCATACAGGTTTCAGATGCGTCCATGCATGATGAATGTGTCAATAATCTGTGGTGTATTCTGTAATACTTGTCCTAAAGAATTCCTATTATTTAGCACCAACTTCCTCTACCCCTTAGCATGTGTCTGAGATAAATCTTCCCTCCTCCTTATGCCTGGTCCTTCTACAGTTACTTTTGTGTACTGTAGTTGTTCTGATTGTTGTATTCCTTCTCTCCATTCAGTTCCACGATAAGATGGACCCTCTTCTGGAGACTCTGGAAGGTGCAGTTCAACGCTTGCGGCAGCCACCTCCAGTGGCGGCTGAGGTGGAAAAGATCCGGGAGCAACTTGCGGAGCACCGGGCTACAGGACTAGAGCTGGACAAACTCCTTCCATCTTTCAGCGCCCTGTGTGCCCGAGGAGAAGAGCTCATCAGTCGCGCCCCACACGACGATCCTGCCGCCCAGGGTAAAGATCTTTGATCTGAAATGACACTATATGGTTGTATGAAATGCTTTATCCTATATGTTTTGGTAAATCTGTAATCTGTTCCCATCCTCAGCGGTGCGTTCGCGACTCTTACGGCTGCGTTCTCTGTGGGATGAGATCAGGCAGAGGGCAGAGGAAAGAGAAGGAAAGCTTCAGGATGTTTTAGATCTCGCCGGAAAGTTCTGGGCCGACATGGCCGCTCTGCTAAGCACACTTCGTGACTCTCAGGATATTGTGAAAGATCTGGAGGACCCAGGGGTGGATCCTTCACTTATAAAACAACAAATAGAGGCAGCCGAGGTCAGTCCAACAAGAGAGTCACTAGCAAGACATGATGTTTTTTTTTTGGTTTAATCAAATTTTCAGTGGGGATGTACAAAAACTGCATATTTTCAAAACTGACTCGTCTGTAGGATGCCTAAATGGCTAGTCAACTAATCAGTCTTAAAGAAGCTCTGTATTGATCAGTGGTTCGCAACCACTAGGGGGCATCAGCAAAATTACAAGGGAACTGTTAAAAACAAATAAAGTCAATGTGTAAACTGAAAGTTATTTCTTGTATAATATTATAATAGAATAAAATAATGAATAATAAAATAACAGCATATTTCCCCCCCTTAATAACTGTTGTTTTTAATTGAAGAATAAATTATTGGAACTGAAGAGCAAAATGTAAGCTTTTTGTTCAGTTACGGTTAATTAAAAAAAAGATAGAAAACAATCAGCTTTGTCATAATTACAGCAGAAAAACTGTGAATAGCCTAATATAGGGAGCCGTGTGCAGTTTAATAAAACACTCCTTAATGGGATTTTAGAGTAGATCAAACTACATAATATTGTGTCAAGACAACGATCTCAAGAGAATGTATTCATTATGTTTTTGTCTCACACTCAGGCCATTAAGCAAGAGACAGATGGGCTGAGGGAAGAACTGGAGATCGTACGAACACTTGGAGCTGACCTCATCTTTGCCTGCGGAGAGACTGAGAAACCAGAGGTCAAGAAGACCATCGATGAGGTAAGAGTCTAGAACAGTGATCATTTCAGCAATGGTACAACAGTGATAACAGAGCAATTTCACTCACATTTACACAAACTATCTCCCTGTTGTTGATTTTGTGTTGGTCCTTTGACACTCAGATGAATGCAGCCTGGGAAGGCTTGAACCGCACGTGGAGAGAGAGAATGGAGAGACTGGAAGAGGCCATGACTGCCTCTGTGCTGTACCAGGATGCTCTTCAGGTGTCTATCACACTATTGGCACCACAAAATCTGCCCTGATTGGTCAAGCCAACTGTGTGTTCACGATCATTGCGTTATATCTCCACAGGGCATGTTTGACTACTTGGACAATGCTGTCATCAAACTGTGTGACATGCCAGCTGTAGGGACAGACCTCAGCACTGTTAAACAACAGATCGAGGAGCTCAAGGTTCGAATCAGACATTGTCTACTCTTATCTCTAAAATCACGTTGAGAAAAAGATTGACCGTTTTTCATTTTACATGACACAGCAATATAAAGTGGAAGTTTACCAGGAACAGATTGACATGGAGAAGCTTTGCCACCAAGGAGAGCTGCTGCTCAAAAAAGTGAGCGACCAAACAGACCGAGACATGATTCAGGAGCCTCTCACTGAGCTACGCCACCTGTGGGATAACTTGGTGGACAAAATCACAATCAGACAGGTGTGGAAATACAGACCATTTTCTTATCTCAGTCTACTTTTGCTTTTACAAAACAATTACTTATAAAACAGATCATTCAGACTCTAAATTCAGATGAGCCATGTTCAATAGCATTGTAAAATATAGCCAAACACACATTGATAACCTCAGATTAATGCTCCATAAAGCAGCCTACAGTTAGGCTAATGAATTATGAATGTATTAATAATAATAATAATATTAACTCATTATTCAATATTGGTATTGTAAAATGAAATGTGAAAACTAATATCAAATCAATTTAAATTAAATTCAACTGCATTTTAGAGGGTAGACAGGAAATGCTCTTACTCTTGATTGTATTTTGATTCTGTCTTCTCTCTCAGCACAAACTGGAGGGTGCACTGTTGGCTCTAGGTCAGTTCCAGCATGCTCTCTCTGAGCTGCAGTCTTGGCTCAGTCACACTCACGCCACACTGGACACCCAGCGACCCATCAGCTCTGACCCCAAGGCCATCGAAATTGAGCTGGCTAAGCATCATGTATGGCATATTTGGGACATTTTTATGTACTCTACTTTTTTATTTCCTTTTTAAAGCAGTTTCCTTTAATCAAGCTGTCTTTGTAGGTTTTAAGAAACGACGTGCTGTCCCATCGGGCTACAGTGGAGACAGTGAACAGTGCAGGCTCTGAGCTTCTGGAGTCCAGTCCTGGAGATGAAATCAACCACCTGAGAGACCAGCTGGATGAGCTCAACCGCAGCTGGAAGAACCTTCTGCTGAAGACTGATGAGAGGCAGAAGCTTTTGGAAGCTGCCCTGCAACAGGTGCTCTAGATATTACTACTGCATCATTATACAGAAAGATCTGATTGAAAGCACCATTAAAAAAACAAGTGCATCTGCATATGTTTGTAGCCTGAAATGCATAATTTGCACCGTTTGAAGGGTTGCTGTGCAGCGAGAATGGTTCTCTTTAATATTGTAGTACAGGTGTCCTATCAATTAGCTCATTGTCTTTCCCTTGCATGGTTTCTGTGTCAGGCGGAGTGTTTCCATGGAGAGTTGGAGGAGTTTCTGCTGTGGCTCAGACGCACAGAGAGTCAGCTGTCCGCTGCCAAACCCACAGGTGGCCTGCCTGAGACCGCCAGAGAGCAGCTGCAGCAACACATGGTACACAAAATGAGTTCACCTCTAGTCCACTCATTAGATATCAGCCACTCTCAAATATGCAACGTATTAGAGCATTTATTTTATATGTTGTTGTTGTTATTATTATTATTATTATAGCAAATAAATATTTATTTAGAATTTTTGGGAGAAAAAAGAAATTGCATGAAATTAAGAACATTAGTAATATGTTAAATACTGCCTTTGCATTCTATTAGGAAAAGCCTAATTGCTTTATATTGTTATTTGTTGACAGTGCTATTTGAGTGAATTTTAATATTTTGAATGAGATTTTTTGTTTAAGGTTTAGTAATTTTGTGCTTTTGTCATTTTTATTAGTTTTGATTTTGTTATGTCTATTTAGCTTTAATTTATTGGTTTTAGTAATTTACTTAAACATTTTATTTCAGTTAGTTTCCAACATTTCTAATATTCAATAAAGTTTTTAATCTGTTAGTTATATTTAATATAGTTATATATAATCAACTTATCCTGCTCTTTCCTGTTTGTAGGAGCTCCAGGCTCAGTTGACCCAGAGGACTGAGCAGTACCATCGGCTACTGGATCAGGGAGAGTCCATTCTGCTGGCCAGAGGAGGGGAGGATGCAGGACCTGGTACCACCCAGACCCAGCAAAACCTGGCCATGCTACAGAACAAGTGGGCCAGTCTCAATACCAAAATGGATGACAGAAGGGTGAGGGATCCAAAGATAGATTCATGACCTTACATCCATGTTTAAATAACAGATTTGATCATTAATGAACAGATGAATGAAGTATCTTATTCTGCTTTCCAGTTCTAAGATACCTCTGCCTGTGTGTTCGTCTCTTTCCACAGGATAAACTGGAGGAAGCCGTCTCGTTGGCAACAGGATTCCAGACCTCCCTGCAGGACACCGTAAACTGGCTGACACAGGCAGAGCAGACTCTCAACATGGCTCAGCCACCCAGCCTCATTCTCGACACAGTCCTATTCCAGATAGATGAGCACAAGGTTGGTCAGAAAATGTGACTTGCTTAAGTAGTACACATATTTTTTGCTTTTGATAAGAGGGGAATAATGCTACTGTTTATGTAAAATAATTGAATACTTTTGAGTAACGTAAGTCCTTGTCTTCATTCCTGTATATTTCAGGTGTTTGTGAATGAGGTGAACACTCACAGAGAGCAGGTTCTGGCTCTGGAGAAAGCTGGCTCTCAGCTGCGGTTTGCCAGTCTCAAACAGGATGTGGTTCTCATCAAGAACCTGCTGCTCAGTGTACAGGCCCGCTGGGACAAACTGGTGCAGAGATCACTAGACCGAGGACGTCACCTGGATGAGGCCCGCAAGAGAGCCAAACAGGTACTTTTTGGTTTACCTCACTCTGTCTGTGTTGCTCTGTTCATGCCTTTCTCCGTCTGATGTTGGTAGTCTTCTCTTGTCTAGTTTCATGAGGCCTGGAGGAAACTGACAGACTGGTTAGAGGAAGCAGAGAGCAGGCTGGACTCTGAGCTGGAAATCTCTAATGAGCCTGACAAGATTAAAATCCAGCTGGCCAAACATAAGGTACAGCACGCATGCATGCATTAAAATGTTTTGTGAAGTTGAAAACTTTTAGACTTGTCTCTCATGCCCTCTATCTGTTAATCACTGTACTGCAGGAGTTCCAGAAGTCTCTTGGCTCCAAGCAGCCAGTGTATGACACCACAGTGCGCTCTGGGAAGGCCATGAGAGACAAGGCAACACTGCCAGCAGACACACAAAAACTGGACAACTTGTTGGGCGAGGTCCGTGACAAATGGGACACAGTTTGTGGAAAGAGCGTGGAGAGGTGAGAAATTCTGCCATATGACTTCACCCATTTGGGTAATGATTGAATGTTGAATGAATTGAAGAAAAGAAAATAATTTGGAATGTTTTCTCTTCAGACAACACAAGTTGGAGGAAGCCCTCTTGTTCTCAGGTCAGTTTGCTGAGGCTCTCCAGGCACTTGTTGACTGGCTATATCGTGTGGAACCTCAGCTTGCAGAGGACCAGCCTGTCCATGGAGATCTGGATCTTGTTTCCAACCTAATGGACTCCCATAAGGTACTAATGGGGTGATTCTCAGGAAATCTTGCTTTAAAAGACTTGCGTCAACAAATTTCCTATTTTGTCATTAATAACAAGGTAAAGTATCTGTGAGTTTTAAAGTAGTAAAATTTTACTCAGTTTAATCTTTTTTTTTTCCAATTACCACAACAGTCTGAAGATGTCAATACCATTAGGAGAGTTGATTAGTAACAGTCAAGCACAGTTACTTGAAACTGTGAAAATGTGCATATTTTTAAATCAACATTTTTATTTGATATTGACTGATTTCTCTCATTACCGCAACCGCTTCCACAAGTTACTACCTAATATTCAATATTTTTTCTCAATATTTTTTGATCACATTGTGTCATCACTTACACAGTGAGGCTTGAATGAGACCTTATACTAGGCATTTCTGTGTAGGACAGAGTTTTAAGCAGTAGTGCTTTATTTATTGTTCCTCAGGTCTTCCAGAAAGAGCTGGGAAAAAGGACCAGTAGTGTACAGGCTCTGAAGCGGTCTGCCCGAGAGCTGATGGAGACGGGCCGGGACGACACCGCCTGGGTCAAAGTTCAACTGCAGGAGCTTAGCAACCGCTGGGAAACAGTCTGTGCCCTGTCTGTTTCAAAACAGACTCGCCTCCAGCAGGCCCTCAAACAGGTACGTCTGACTGTTTTTAGGTTTTGAATGAAACCAAGAGTAGTGTAAATATTTTCTTCTTTCTGTCTGTCTGTCTGACTGTCTATTTTTGTCTCTCTTTTTCTGCAGGCAGAGGAGTTCCGCACAGCTGTTCAGATGTTGCTGGAGTGGCTTTCGGAGGCAGAGCAAACATTGCGCTTCCGGGGCGTCCTGCCAGAGGAGGTAGAGACTCTGCAGGCACTACTGCACACGCACCGGGATTTCATGCAGACAGTGGAGGAGAAGAGAGTGGATGTCAATAAAGCTGCTGGCATGGGTGAAGCCATCCTAGCTGTGTGCCACCCAGACTGCATCACAACCATCAAACACTGGATCACCATCATCAGAGCTCGTTTTGAAGAGGTATGAAGCCTGTCTGGGCCAAAAGTTAGATAAATGATAGTCAAGCAAATGTCTCAACCTAATATAATAAGTCTGAAGTGCGTATATAATACAAATGTAATATTATAATATTTGCACTACAGGTGCTGACATGGACCAAACAGCACGAGCAGCGCTTGGAGACGGCTCTGACTGAATTGCTCAACAATGCTGCACTACTGGAGGAGCTGTTGTCATGGCTACAGTGGGCGGAGACCACACTGGTGCAGCGTGATACTGAACCACTCCCCCAGGACATTCCTCAACTGAAGACACTAATTACAGAGCATCAGGTGAGCGGGACACCTCCATTCATCAGCGGACCCTTTTAATATTAATTGCATTGTTTAGTGCTGAGAGGTTTCTTATTGGTTTTGTTTTCTTCCATCAGGTGTTTATGGAAGAAATGACGCGAAAACAGCCTGATGTTGACAAAGTGACAAAGACATACAAGAGGAAACCAGCAGAACATTCCAGCAGCCTGTCAGACAGGAGAGGGGCCCGTAAGAGACTTTATCCTCATCTGCACTCATGCTGCATACAAACACAAAACCTTTACATTCGTTACTGTTCAAATGTTTGTGGTTGGTATGATTTTTTTTAAAATGTTTTTAAAAGAAGTATCTTATGCTGGGCAGCATTTATTTTTTATTTGATTAAAAATACAGTAAAATTTTATGAAATATTATTTCAATTATTGCAACTTTTGAGCAGAAGTGTAGATTTGAGCTACAATAACTGTGCTCACTGCTTAATACTGGGCAGTGTATACTGTATACTGCCTATTATGTTTTAAAAATAGGATGTGAAAGAGATTAAGCAATTATAAAGGATAAAAATGAGAAAAATAGAAATTTAAGGTCAAGCCAAGCACAGTGCATTGTGTAGTCAGTCACTAAGGTATTCCATATGTACAATAAACGTGTATGCTGTGCATAGTATGCATACTAATATACCTCAGAATTCACTTAGTACAGTAGTATGCTATTCTGAACATACTCTTCTGTGCCCTCCTTACAGGAAAACACCAGCAGCAGCAGCAACAACAGCACTCAGTACAGGTAACCGGTGGTAACCCTCGCCTCACCCAGCTCTGCTCCCACTGGCAACAAGTGTGGCTGCTCGCCCTCGATCGCCAGCGCAAGCTGAATGATGCTCTCGACAGACTAGAGGAGGTATTGCATCTATTACTACATTATTATTATTATTACTATTCTTTTTTTACTCTTAATTTTACTCTTTGTGTAATAGTAGTAAAATAAGTGATTTAAAATGATGAAATCTGAACAGTAGAAGTAATAACTCGTGACTTTTCTCCACTCACAGCTTAAAGAGTTTGCCAACTTTGACTTTGATGTGTGGAGGAAGAAATACATGCGCTGGATGAACCACAAGAAGTCTCGAGTCATGGACTTCTTCCGACGCATCGACAAGGACCAGGATGGAAAGATCACTCGCCAAGAGTTTATCGATGGCATCTTGGCATCAAGTACGTCCTCATGGACTTGCCTGCTAATCTTAGTTTTCATGTACCTTTTTTAATTGCCAGTTTAACTATGCTTTTTTTTTTTTTGCAGAGTTCCCAACCAGCAAGCTGGAGATGACAGCTGTTGCTGATATCTTTGACCGTGATTGTGATGGCTACATCGACTACTATGAATTTGTGGCTGCTTTGCACCCTAACAAAGATGCTTACAGACCCACAACAGACGCTGATAAGATCGAAGATGAGGTATGGACGATGACAAGAAAACGAATGTTGTGGGTTTGGCATGATAATGAACTTTTGATGTGTTTAAGCTGAATTAAATCCACATTTTTTGTATCCCAGGTCACCAGACAAGTGGCCCAGTGTAAGTGTGCCAAGAGGTTTCAGGTTGAGCAGATTGGAGAGAACAAGTACAGGGTGAGAATCGGGTGCCCAATAGTAATAATCAAGCAAGAATTCAATGCATTTAATATGACATTTATAAAGGTACATAAATGAGCTGCTTTATCACCACACCTCCTCATTCCGATCATACCCAAGCTTGCCATTGTAATATTACGACTCTAACCAGCATCACACTCTTTCAGTTACATCAGTATGACTTGGTCATTTTGGAATAAAGGTGCCTTGGCAGTTTTGTGTGTGTATGCAGTACCACCATAACACTTCACACCCAACTAATGATCAACCCATCAGACGTGGCTGCTGCAGTCAAGATCACTGAGTGGTCTTTCATACCTCAGCATCATTATCCATTGGTTAATGATCTTTGACAAGACCGTTTACTAACTTATTGCATTGCACAGGCTACAGATCCACAATGCTAACTCCACATCCTGATGTTTGTCCGTCTTTGTCTGTCTTTTTACTACTTCACCTTGTGTGGTGGCCTCATTGTGTTTGTTTTCAAGCAGCCATTCACAAGCACTCTACCCTGCTTATAGCAACAAATCACACGCCCCCCATGGGCATTTTCTCCATTGTATGCTATCTTTAGGAATAGTTAAAAGGAAATGAATCGTTATACCAAAATAAAAGGTTAATGTGTTTATGTCTGTATCTGTTATTTCACTCTTTTTTTTTCTTTTTTTTTCCTCTTGTTTTATTCCTCCTCCATGTGCACCGGACTTTTTGTAGTTCTTCCTTGGGAATCAGGTAAAGTGAACAGTGTGTTTGTGGCATGTTCTCTGAAATCTGTTGCCTTTGCACAGTTCCCATGAGCTCCCACTGTAGAAGCTGGTCTTTTATTCTGGGGGTTTTCAGACAGCCAGATCTAAATCAGTACACAGGACAGTTTCTGCATGGACTAGCTAAGAATTCCCTGTGGACAGCCCACATTCTTGGCTGCTGTCTGAAATGGGGATTTCTTTAGTGCCTTCCTGCTTTCTCAGTGGGCATTTCCTGTCTTGGGAGACAAAAAATGCAGTACTATTGCCAAAATATTAAATGCATTTATATACGCCTTCCAAATCCAGAGGCAGATTTCAAAGGTTCAGCTTATGTGTCGTGGTTGGGATGTGCTTGTTTTTTTATTGAAAATGATTTATCATGATCAGGAAATGGTTCAGATTTACAGGGCTTTCTGTTATGACTTTTTTGGCTTTTGGTGGAGGAAAACTATCCAGTGGCTGATTTCTTGACTTAGAGAAAATAAACCTTCAACCAAAGCAATTCTTTGAAGTAAAAAAAGAGAAATTCTAGAGAATTGCTGTGGTGTGGTGTTTATTGTAGAGATGGGATTTGAACTGGGCAGGCTTTAACATTAATCATGTAGATTTAAAAAAACGTGGTTTGCTGCATGTCGCAGTGTGATTTCCTTTGATTTGCCTGGTGCTTCATAATATAATTAGTATAATTAACAAATTTGAATATGATCTTAAAGGAATAGTTCACCCATTGTAATTCAGATTATTTGCTAAACCTCATGTTATTTCAAACTTTTTTTTTCTTCTTCTGTGGTACATAAATGGAAAGATTTTGAGGAACTTTCATGCAAATCGTATTACAAATGCAAGTCCTTCAAAAATGTTCACTCTTTTTTTTTTTTCCACACTAAAAATGACCGGTCTGGAACAACATGAGCAGAATTTTTGGGTGGACTAGCCCTTTAAAAGACATTCTGAAATTATAATCCTTTATCTCTCTGTCTGTCCTGTTCCCTCTCTTATCCACATTCTTTCCTCTCCACTCTTCCTCTTCTTTCCTTTGCTTTTCCTCAGTTCGGAGACTCACAGCAGCTGCGTCTTGTACGAATCCTGCGCAGTACAGTCATGGTTCGAGTTGGAGGAGGGTGGATGGCGCTGGATGAATTCCTGGTGAAGAACGACCCTTGTCGAGGTAAGTCTGACATAACAGCTGGAGGAAACTTGCTCTTTAGGGACATGAAATTGATTCCAGGAAGTGCTCAACACTGACAGACAGAGTTGTTGACACAGCATTATTCATATTTCCACTCAATACTTTTATCATTTATCTCATCATCTTTCACTCATGTATTCATTCTTTTCTATGAGTGTTCTCATCTTATCAGTACTATCTGAGTTCACTCTCATCTCATCTTCCATCACTTCCTATTACTTCCTGATCTCTTTCCCATGGTGGTTGTTTTTATATGCATGGCCTACACATTTGGCCCTTTCTTTCTCTTTCTCCCTCTCATCCTCCTTTTTTATTTTGTACAATTGTAGTGCATGGTGCATGTTCCTTAGGTCTCTCCCTCTCTCTTTCTCTGCCCCTTCCCCTATCTCTCTTTATCTCTCCCCAGTGCAACATCCAGGACTTAAAATCTTCCGTTCTGACTCCAGCAGCTCCATATCATCTCGCATAGGTTGGGTTTTTCTCTCTCCTTCTAGTTCGGATATTCTTCTTTTTCACTCGTTTGGTTTCCCTCTCTTTCCCTCTTTTTCACTCACACCTCGTTTGGTTCTTTGTTGCTTTGCTGTGCTTTGCTGACCGTGACACTGATTCTAATCGGCTCTCACCCTCACGCCTGGAGCTCATAATGAATCAGTTGCGCTTTGAGAATTCTGGCTCAGTCGTGTTTACATAACTTCCTGCATTTTGATTTGAGATACTTAATGCATATTTATATTCCAAAAATGGTGTTTGTAGACAGTTTATTCCCTTTTGTTGCCAAGCAAGAGATCTTAATGGAAAAGTTCACCCAAACATCTTTCTAAACATGTATGACTTTTTTTCTTTTGTAAAACATAAAAGAAGATATTTTGAAGAATGTTTAAGCTGCTCTTCTATACAATGCAAGTAAATGAGGAATGCTAGATTTAACGTCAGTAACATTAAACACAAATCAATTTGAGGTGATTGACATATGCTAAATTTCTCATTAATACATGTTTGGAACGAATTGAAGGTGAGTAAACGATGACCGAATTTTCATTTTTGGGTGAACTATCCCTTTCAACAGAACGTGAGTGTGCGTATGTGACTCTTTCTGTGGGATGGTGTGAATGCGTGTTTTCATGTTGTCTCTTGTGTCTCTCAGTGACGGTCACTCCTGGCTATTTCTGCTGCAGAGGTACCTCATCTTCTCTCCTTTCTCACCTCTTAACTCTTCTCCTGTTTGACGGCATCTGTCTGTCTATTCCATTCTGAGCCGCTAAACCTTTTTGTCCAGCTTTGGGTCCATCCCATCACTGCTGTGTCTTTTAGTGTATGTGGAGTGTGTGAGCGTGTGAGGTCTATGTGTCAGCTAGCATCATGCTAACCATTCAAACCAGGCTTGGCCAGGCCTGGACTCGATTCCTTTTATGTGTGTCCTGGATGAATATTGCAAGTGTAAAAGCATCCAGGACCCAGGGTGTGGCCAGGCTTGGGGTTTCTAATATTGTTTGAAGCAACTCTTGAAGAGCAATTACTCATGGAGAAATGAATTACAGGCCCCACCAGGCTTGTGGGGAGGAAATTATATGGTGCGGCAGTTATCGACTGCCCTGCTCTGACTGGGTTTGATGGAAAAGTGAGTGTCATGCAGTGTTGGGGAAGCTACTTTGAAACTGTAGCTTGCCACGCTAAAAGCTACTTATAATTTAAAGTAGTTGAAGTACAGTAAAATCACACTTTTTGAAAAATTAATTAGCCACACTACACACTAATACCAAAACAGTAGCTAAGGACACAAACTATGTAAGTGACTGACCACTGATAGTTTATGGCAATGTCAAATCAAGTGGCTTTTATTTATTTTAAGAAAGATAGATAAGGTAATTTTTAAGCAAAACATTTAACAAAAAGACGTTTGTTAGATAATAAAGCAGTTGAATCACTGTTCTGGATTAAGACAAAAGAATTGTGACTCTTTGTAGTTGTCAAATATTAGTGGGTCAGGTTGGCGATTAATGTGATGAACTACATCTGTGGTTAGGACACCTGCTAAACTTGAGGAAAATTGGCTTAATAAATACAACTAATTGGAAACCAGTGTCATTTTAGTATTATTTTTACACTATTAAAGTTTTTATGTATATTTTAATAGCTTTAATACATGAATTCGCTTTTTTTTTAATACATTTTAGTAATTTGGTTGTGCTTTTGTCATTTTTTATTTATTTTTTTATGTTTCTATTTACTTTAGCTTATTTTAGCCAAGGCAACATTAAGTTTTTCATCTAATATTTAGATTTAGCTTTTTTCAATTAATGAAAAAATTTAATCGTTTACTTTTATTTTTAGTTAACAATAACAGAACACCCTACGTTTATATAACTTTGTTGAAAACATTGATGAACAGCAGCATTTGATTAAATGTTTTGCTACAAAACAGTAGGCATAAAATATTATGCAGGGACTGAATGAATGCGCAATTAATTATCTAAACGATTACCTAAAATCCCAGTATAAGGGAATGGTGTTTGATTGTTGCATTTTGCTCGTATGTAAGGCTACATGATATGTCCTATTGTAACACTACTGAAAAATTTAACTGAATTTTCTGTGCTTTTAGTTAGATACTCCCCAACACTGATGTCTTGAGGGCATAACAGGGAACTTCTGACCACAGCTACTGCTGCCATTGTGCACAGCCCTCTCTCTCTCTCTCTCTCTCTCGCTCTCAGCTGGCTGCTCTGGTCTGTGTGTTGTGCAAGGGCTGCTGCGTTGGGTGTCTGTTATTGAGAATGCTCCATGGAAGCTTGCGTTGGTTTTCAGTGTTTGCTAAAGCATTATCAGGCATGACCCTCAGGTATCTCTCAACGCTGTTTATGCGTGTGCACTCTTTTACGTGGTGGGCTGAGGGAAGCTGTGCTTTTTTCTTTTTTTTTAGTGAGTTCTTGTTTTGAAGATGCTTGCTCTGACTCACTTCACTGTTAACCCCCTGCATCGTGTCCACCACGCACACTGACCGCTTTTAAAGTGGGTAAACGATCCCTCTGTCTGCATTGAGTCAAAGCAGTGGGCCGGAGGAAGTGCTGACTCTCTCCACTCACACTGCTCTCCGCCTAATCATCGTCCCTTACAGCCTAGCAGCTGATTTAATTTCTCCTCCTTTCATCTTCTGCAGCTCGTGGACGTACCAACCTGGAGCTTCGAGAAAAGTTCATTCTTCCAGAGGGAGCTACGCAGGGTCTGGCGGCCTTCCGGTCCCGGGGGCGGCGATCCAAACCTTCGTCACGCACTGCCTCGCCCACCCGTTCATCTTCATCTGCATCGCACAGCGCCCACAGCTGCGCCTCTCTACCCTCCGCACCCGCAACGCCCACAGCCTCCTCAAGGGTGAGTGACCCCATATTACACTCCATAAGGATATAACCCGTACTTGCTGTTTGTTGTGGGAGCATGCTTATACACTAATATTTTCATGAATAATCTCTAAAAATCAGTCTCACACAGTTTACTTGTATCATATGTTACTGTTCAAAGGTTTGGGGTCAGTAAGATTTTTCTTTTTGAAAGACGATAATACATTTATTCAGCAAGGATGCATTTCATTGATCAAAAATAACATTAAGTACTTTCAAAAGATTTAGCTTTGCCATCACAGAATATATTTGGAATTATATTCAACCAGAAAACTGTTATTTTAAAGTTTTTAGTGTATTTTTGGTCAAATAAACACAGCCTTGGTGAGCATCAGAGACTTCTTTAAAAAAAAAAAAAAATTTAAATCTTACCGACCCGAAACATTTGAACTGTAGTGAACATTTAATCACAGTTTATCTATATACAGTTGTGCTTGTTTACAAGCATTTGTATAGACAGCATTTGCAGAATCGGTAATGATGTTTAGCATTTTACAAAAACAAGAGATAAAATCTTAAAATTACTACTGCCCTGAAGATGCTGACACATAACAGATATGTGCATGTCTTTGCATATATATATGTATATATGCGGTACAAAATAGGAGCCAAAATCCAATTATAATGAGAAATATCTTGCAGACTCTTTACAGTTGAGCACAACTGTAGATTCTCTTGCAAAAGCATTGGTAATTAATGTCCTTTTTCGCATAACACATAACATTATACTTCATATCGGAGTGTTCTTCATGGTCTTTACATACATCTGTGTGTTTCATGAGTATTTGAATATGTCTGATTGCTTGTATTTTATGTTGTCATCTAAAGTTTAAACACTGAAAAGATATATCTAAGAAAATGTTCCCAGAAACCTTTAATTCGTTAGGCCCTATATTAAATATGAACAAAGTTTTTAATACTGGTTTAATACAGTGCCAACCTTTTTGGATTTTTTCAATACACACCAATAAATAAATTTTTTTTTTTTTTTTTACTGATACAAGCTAATTTGATATTTTGTTATTTAAATGCAATGATAATTGTAACCCTGTAAAGCCTGACATATTAAATGATAGTCAGAAATATATATATATATTGATACATCAGGCTTTTATGGCACATATAGTATGATATAGTGAGAATATGGTGCTGATAGCTTATAATGTAAATAAATGAGGTATTTAGTAGAGGTCGACCGATAGTGGATTTTGCCGATACCGATAGCTAGGTTGGACCACACTGGCCGATACCGATTAATTAACCGATAGTTTTTAAAATGGATACTGAACAAAAACTAAAATAATGCTTTATTAAAAAAACAGTACTGAACCGTAGTAGTAGTAGTAATAATAATAATAAAAATGTTGAAATTAACAC